TTTTTTTTTGGTTACTGGGAATCAAACTCAGGACCTTGAGCTTGCCAGGTACGTGCTTATGCCACTGAGCTATATCCCCAGCCCCTATATTACATATTTTTATCTTCATCAAAGTTGGTCAGATTACCAGACGTAAGAATGCAAAATTAATCAAACCATTAAAGAGAATAAAAAATAAAAACAAAAAAATTATAAATGATGGAGTTTCACCAGACATGATGATAGGAATTCAGCAATGGCTGTTACATTGCATATTGTTGTCTTCAAATTAGTTGTTCCTATTACTAGATAGAAGCATGCAAAATTGGTTAATAAATAAATAAATAAAGCATTAACTGTTCTTTTCAAGAAACCATCACACACCAGCAGTACAGTTAGCACAGCTATCCTTCTGTATACATATGTATATTTTTCCTTCCTTCTTTCTTTCCTTTTCTCCTTTCCCTAATCCGGTTGTTTCCTCTTTTGAGCATGCATCTGTTGTATGCTTTGGGATCCACTTACTCTTTCATGTTCTTACACTAGGGAGACAATGCTGACTGTGTCTTTTTAGTCTGAAAATTTCTCTATTTCCTATTTATTTATCTATTTGCCTACTTATTTATTGGTTTTTGTAAGATGGTTTCACTGTACAGGCCAGGCTAAGAAGTTGCTCTGTAGCCCAGGATGGCCGTAAACTACCAACCCTTATGCCTCAGCCTCCTGAGTGCTAGCATTACATGGTCTACCCCCATGCCTAGGGTTCCCCTTTATTTTTGAAAGAGTTTTTTTGTTGACTACAGCAAACCTAGGTCAACAGAGTTTTATTTGATTTTTTTATTTGAAGTGTGTATAGAATTTGTTGTGCATTTTGCATGTGTGAGTTTATAATTTCATCATATTTGAAAACATTTCTGGCATGATTTCTCCTTTTTCTTTCTATTTCTTTTCCTTTATGGTCCCTATTTACAACTGTGTTTGGCCACTGGAGGTTAAAGCACAGCATATTTATGCTTTATTTTGTTTTCTATTTTCTGTGTTTCAGTTTGGATGTTTCCTGTTACCTTTCTCCTATAATTTATAGTCCCTCATTAATTCCATTCAGTGTGTTTTTCATCACTCAAGGACTCTGCAGCTTTCTGAGATTTTCTCTGTGCTGCTCTCATCTAGTTCTTTTGAGAACTCTAGCCATCTTTTATCCCAGCATCTTAGCTCCATATCTTTAATACATAGTCCCTTGGGTTCTGGCCTAGTTTTCCCTCTCTGTATTTACTCTGGAAATGCTCTTAAGATAGTAAATTGGGACTCTTGCTGATCTTATTTCATTTACTTTGGACCTTTAAGGCCTAATGTAGTATGTCTTGCAAATCATTGTTTCATATATTCTGTCCTTTTTGGAGTTGTTTCAGACAGGAGAGTAAATGCAGGCTTTGTTATTCTGTCTTGGCTGCAAACAGACGTTGGGGCTGAGCCCTCTTCTTCATTTCCTTACCTGTCCTCAATTCTTGTGTCTCAAACTTTTAAAGGCAGCCTGAAGCAGAGCTGTCCCCTTTGAACTTGCTCGTCCTCATTTCTTTTCCACATTAATTGTTTTTGCCTTAAGTCCTTTCCTGGTCTAAAATTATTATATTGAAAAGGCTGTAATTAATCTTCAGTGCCATTTGATTTTGAAGGTCTGATTTAGACTGCATTGTATTTGGGACTGAAAAGATGGAAATATATTATGACACCTCTTGCACTCATTTAAAATCTAAGCAGTTTTGAAATGAAGCCAATAGTTCAGCAGAATGTTGAGCAGTATCTAGGCTTCTAGCTACAAAGGTATCTGGTGGAAATGCTTTCTCGACTAATTAGTCTGTTTGGCCCTTACTCAGACTGAACATTTAGCCTGCATTTGCCTTACTCATAGTTGTGATTGAACCGTATCCATTACATTACCAGACTCACATAAAGGAAATATGCTTTCTTATAGTTGAAAATGATTAAAACTTAGCAGTCAGAATAATTTGAAGAGTTACTTTTTTTCTACATGTGATCCTTGTTCTATTAGTATTTATCTCTTTTTTCTTGCCTTAGAAAACAAGCAAGAAATTCCAGTGTTTGTACCCTGTTTTGAAAGATAAATGCAGTAGGATCTTTTGGTTTCTTCTAATTGAAGAAAAAGGTCATATTTTAAGAGTGTAATTGTTCTCTGGTGTTTTTCACTAAATATAAGGTTGAATGGATTTTTTTTTTTCTCTCTTTAGCTTTATGAGAGTCAAATAATAAAGGATAATGGGCTATTATTTCCTTAGAAGTAACTTTCAGGGTCAATAAAAGTTAGCCCTATAGTCTGTTATTAATCTCTGTTTTAGCTGGGTGATGATTTTTAATGAAATAAACCACTAATATAACAAAAAGTATTATAACTAAGAGACTAGCAAAAGATGACCCTGATACACTAAAGGAAGTAACTTTGCTGAATCACTGGGATGATCACATTTTAACTAGTGTGGTTTTGATAAAGGGAGAACTGTGGAACTGTAGAACTATAGAGAGGGCACTGGAACAAATCAGAAGGTGTAAGTTATTCTACTGAATGCTGTGAGACTGAGCAAATCTTGACAGTTTGAACTCTATTGTCCTCAATTGTCATAACTAAATGCTCTAGCAGGTAGAGGTCATACTATGTGCAAGGTGCATTGCTGGTCTGTGCACTTGCTGTACTTTACTTAGTTCTCATACCTTCTTGCCCCCAAAATAAGACCTAGCCAGAAAATAATCAACCTTGAAAACTAAAGATCAAAAATGCCAGCCCCAGCCAGCCTGTACTTGCCTAACTTACCATCACCGTTCCCTTGTTTGGTGGCTACTCTGAAAGCGAGGTAAGACGAAAAGACAGGCTGAAAGTAAATAGAATCTACATTTTATAGATGAGAAACCTGAGTTCCCAGTATATTAAACACTCAAAATGTCAATCAACTAGTACTAAAGATAATTTGAGTGTGTGTGTGTGTGTTTGTGCAGACCTGGGGATTGAACCCAAGGGTTTGTATATGATAGGCAGGTGCTCTACCACTGAGCTATATCCCCAGACCTTTTTATTTTATATTTTGAGTCAGGGTCTTGCTAAGCTGCTCAGGCTGGCCCCAAACTCAGCCTTCCAAGTAACTAGAATTATGATGATGTACCACCGACCCTGATGAATCTGTCTTCATTATTCTAAAGTCATGAAATTCCTTTTATTTCTAAAATATACTTTTAATTTTAAGACTGTGAACCCCATTGTATGCTAGCATGGTAAATTTCCAAATTGCCTTAGGTCTTTTTTTTTTTTTAACTCTCAGTTTTATGACCTGAATTATATTTTGATAATTAAAATC